CTTTGGTATTTCTTTTCCTTAATTAAAATATTTATTTAAAAAAGAAGAAGAAATAAAACAACACAATTAAGGACCAAAATAATTTGCCTATAAAATCCGAAGTCGTTCTACAACAAGAAGCAGAGAAGAGAGAAGCTCATTTTACTGAAAACAGCATTCAAAGAGAAAGAAAAAGAAAAAAAATGGCAAAGGCTTATTCCACACGTGTCCTCACGTTTCTGATGCTGATCTCGTTAATGGCGGTAACACTGAACCTTGTGTCCATGGCAGAGGCACAGAATAAGAAGAAGGCACCGAGGAAAGATGTTCCTCTAGTGAAAGGTCTCTCATGGAGCTTTTACCAAAAAGCATGTCCCAAAGTGGAAAACATTATCAGAAAAGAGCTCAAGAAAGTCTTCAAGAGAGATATTGGTTTAGCTGCAGCCATTCTTCGTATACATTTCCATGACTGCTTCGTTCAGGTCTCTCTCTCTATTTCTCTTCTCATATTATTAACAAAAAAAATATAATTTTGTTGTTTTTTTTAAGCCTACTCTAATTACGGTTCTACGTACGTGATTAATTTTTTATAAGAAACCATAGACAATTACATACCTAATAGGGGGGAAAAAATAAGGGTTGATTATTGTTTTTTTTTCTTTTTATAAACCGTGCGAGTTCAAAACCTTTGGTTTCTAATTTTTTTGATATTTTGAATATTCCAATTTAAAAAATAAATTTTCGTTCCAAACTTATTGTTTGTCATGTGTTAATATAAATCCGACCAAAATAACTTAAAAGAAAAAACATAAAATCGCCTCGAAATGCTCACGAACAAGATAAAGAAAGGGTTGTCCGCATCGTTATTTCTCTTTTTCTTTAAAAGAAAGGTTTTCTTAGTGTATACATGAACTAAAATGTTTTTATCAAAAAAGATTAATTAAGTGATCGAATGGTATTGTTGAATACATGCTCTAGGATAGACTTGAATATGCCCGGACGTGTCGCATTAATTCTATTCACCCGCTTTTCGTGGGTTAGTTGAGTCTCATTTATGGAACGTAAAAAATCTTAAATGAATGAATATTGAACCAATGGTTCAAATTTAAAATAAAAGGGTTTTTGTTTAATAATATATACAAGAATAATAGGATATGATAGTAGTATACCAGTATCAATACATTTGGATAAAATATCTATGTATCTATGTGATTTTGTTGTTCCATATAGATTTAAGATTTATCTACCTTATATATTTGTTATCATCCAATGTCTTCTATAAAACAATGGTAGATATTATTCCTCTAGACAAAATACTACTACTAATCAAATATTACCAGTGTACTTTGCAACACTTTTTTATTGAAGTGTGGCCTAATTTGATGATCAGACAAATAAATTGCGAGGAAAACTTTTGAATATATTTGTAGGGATGTGAAGCGTCAGTGTTGCTAGCTGGATCAGCGAGTGGGCCAGGAGAACAATCATCAATCCCGAATCTGACACTCCGTCAAGCCGCCTTTGTCGTCATCAATAACCTTCGTGCCCTCATCCAGAAGCAATGCGGTCAAGTCGTCTCTTGCTCTGACATCCTCGCTCTAGCCGCCCGTGACTCCGTCGTCCTCGTAAACAACTCTCTCTAATATCTATTTTTTGTCGTTTATAACTCGTATACTTTCGGCAATAGTACTAATACAAACCTCTATGTTATATTTTTGGCAATACTAGTATATATTATCTAACCACTATGTTACATTTTAAGTGATATAATTTTTTGTTGGGCATGAATGTAGTCAGGAGGGCCAGAGTATGCTGTGCCACTAGGCAGACGCGACTCACTAGAGTTTGCGACTCCGGATACGACTTTGAATAACTTACCACCACCTTTCGCTAACGCGAGCGCGCTCATCACCGACTTCGGCAATAGAAACCTCAACAGCACCGACTTAGTTGCACTTTCTGGTGGTCACACCATTGGAATTGCGCATTGTTCGTCTTTCACGGACCGGCTATACCCGAACCAAGACCCTACCATGAACAAAGCATTCGCCAACAACCTCAAACGCACTTGTCCCACTGCAAACTCGAACAACACGCAAGTGAACGACATAAGGAGCCCTGACGTTTTCGACAACAAGTACTACGTTGATCTCATGAACCGACAAGGATTGTTCACATCCGACCAGGATCTGTTCGTGGACAAGAGAACACGTGGTATTGTGGAGAGCTTTGCGATCGATCAAAAGCTGTTTTTTGATCATTTCGCAGTGTCCATGATCAAGATGAGTCAGATGAATGTCTTGACGGGGACACAAGGAGAGATTCGTTCCAACTGTTCGGCGAGAAACACAAGAAACTTCATGTCCGTTTTGGAAGAAGGCATCGAGGAAGCTCTTTCAATGATCTAATAAACCATCCATATCTCGACTTTTTCTTAGTTTACGCACTTGTGGTTTATCGAATGGACCTAAGACTATATCAGATCAATAAAGAGAGTTGTTTCATCTTAACTTTGTATTTTTTTAGTTCACGCACTTTGTGGTTTGGTTTGTCGAATGTTTTGAGACTATTTTATGAATAAAAGATCGTTTCACCATCTTATTTCATATCAAATTTGAGGAAGAAAAAGGGATTTATGTGATGTGATTAACTATAGCAAAACTGTAGATTCTATACCATGATACAAGAGACTTGGTGAATGTTACAAAAAAACAAATAGACTACGGAGTTAAAAATAAATAAATAAAATTAATGGGGGAAATAAATTAAGCCCATTAAGATATAGTGACCCATAACCCAACATTTTTAACTGTCTAAAAAGCCCAAGTTTTGGTAATCTTTGCTTCAGGGTCAACGGTCTAATGTTGCTTTTTTCTTCTATCTCAGTTTCCGGTGGAGCTCCGGGAACCCGGCACTGCTTTAACGAATCAATCGGCAAGGA